CCCCAAAACCCCAAAACCCCAAAACCCCGGGGATGTAGGGGAAGATTGAGTGAAATAAAGATTAATAGAAGAATTTTGGGGTTGGACTTTTTGGGGGTTGAGTTATTGGGGGCTTGAGATAGAGCTTCTGGTGTGATCTCTTATGATATTTGGGGGGAAAAGGGAATTACTGGAAGTGAGAGGGAAGTTGTTCATCAGTAAATTGCTGTTTGTGAAAGGTTCTTCGTTTTGTGATCTTAAAGGGAAGTTTCTCTTTAGTCGTTGGTATTCATTATACTCTTTCAATAGGAGTTTGTAGCAGATGTAATTAGTAACAGCAATACTCAAAAGTATGATGAGTTCGTAAGAAATAGAGGTAAAATCGATTCCAGGATTCACTGTATGCTCAGAGAAACTTCTGATGATTGCATCAAATTCTGAGCATTGTAACGTATCATTACCAATAAAAGTAGGCATGAAGTATTGTCCAATCCTCATGCGAATGCAATCAGATCTTTCCTGGTAGGTTTCGAAGCCTTCTTTATGAATTATCTTGTTAATGACACCATATTCCTTCTTTAAATATGCAAAAATCAGAGCTATGTATCCATAATCAAGTTCAGTTATAATTGTTCTGCTTAATGCCCTGAAATTATAGAAAATTATGGTTAGAGCTGTTCCAGGAGATACCATTTTTTTTGAAACATGTTAATAAACTTAAAGTGTTGCAATGAAAGAAAACCATAAAGAAGCTCAATGCTGCGTTCAAGAATTCAATAATGTCTTTGCTTGATAAAGCATTGGCTTGAAAGTTTTTTAGTACCATTATTAATAATTCAAGAGTAGGCTTAATTCTATTTACAAATCTGTCATGTCTTCTTGGAAGACTTCCTACACTAAGATCTGGATAATCTCTAAAACGAGTCAAATATCCATATCCATTCACCTCCGATAAAATCATCACAAGACATATCAGCCATAACAAAATTTTCCCCATAATAAAAATTATTTATCCAACAAATCCTCCCATCCCGGGGTTTTGGGGTTTTGGGGTTTTGGGGTTTTGGGG